CGATTGCTTTCTAAATAACAGAAATAAATTGCCTAGTAGTTTTGAACGATATTTTATGTATTTATATCTGACATATTAATTTCATTAGTAAAAATAATTTTTATTATGTTTATATTATAAGTCATGCTTAAAATTTTAGTTAATCCTCAAATGTTTTTATGGAAATGTAAATTTTATTTTACATTATATAAAAAACATATAAAGTGGAAAGTTTTTGGCATTATTTTGTATACCAAGTGTTATCTATCTAAATATTTTAAAATAATTTCAGTTTTTTCTTTTTTGATTTTTGATATGATTTCACTCGTTGTTGATATTTTCATTTTTCTTAAAACAATCCTAAAAGCAATGATGATAAAGCTACACGAAAGTGAATTGGACTTAGAAGAGAATTGCAAGGATTTCAGTGTTAAAGAAAAGATCTATGTGTTAAAGAAAAGGAGGAAATTATATAAGATAAATTATGTATAGCGTATGAGTGCAGACGATTGTGTTTCATCTATTTTTTTTTACTTACAGTACGTTTTTTTTTTTACTGGAATTGTTCAATATTAACAAATATGATCGCAAATTTTACGTTTATCCTAAATTGTTAACGATAATACCAAACAAAATGTTTAATTTTTATTCCTATATTTTTTGTGGAACAGGAAGGCACGTTGTGTATTCTGGTGATGATGCAAAGCTGCATTGTCTGTTCAAACAATATTTGTATATTCAGTTGTTATAACGATGGAAAAAGATATGATTTTATTATTTATTCTATTGTTCTACATATATATATATATATATATATATGTACGTATGTATGTATGTATGTATGTGTTATTACATAGTTTCAAGAAGAAAAACAAATAGTCTGTTCGAAAAATTTAAATAACGAAAGATCATATATGATTTATTAATTATTAAATGCTTATATTAATAATATTTTATTTATATATTTTTCAAGCTTTTTCATTTAACGCATGATTAATCTTTATTATGAAAGGAAACCATAAATTCAGGAAACTAATTTTTTTTAATAGAAAGCAGTTAAATAGTTACTGATTTTAATATCATTATGAACAGTAGTAGTGAGAGTATGTGTTTTTCAATGTAATTTGTTTTAAATTATTACGAGTTAATTAAGATATTGTAATTTCGGAATTAAGATATTATAAAAGCATAAGGCGACTTCTAACTTAAGTGACGAAGATAGCTTCGTACGAAATTAATTTTATTTTTACTATTAATCGATGATATCTTTCAAATCGGTCGATAATCATGTTAAAACAAAGGAAACAAAAATCATCTCTATGATTTTCTTGTGCGGATATACTAACGATTGTATCGACCTGTGATCTTTATTCAAGAATCGAACAGCGTACGTTTCTCAATGGCAACGTATCATATTTCAAAGCACTTGTACTATACGAGTTTTCACACCTGTTTTTTTAGCGTACCTGTCACGTTACGTAAAAAATACGCTGCGACTTTCTTGCATGAATGTTACACACGTACTGAATTTTCAAAACGCTATAACTCCATGACAAATTGACGTAACGACATGCAACAAAAACTGATCTATACCAAGCGTTCACAGGTATCTATGTTGAAGATATGTTTTAGTCATAATACCTACGAATATAAAGGGAGATAAGAAATAATATATGAAAAATAATATATATATATATATATTATTACGAAATAATAAAATTAGAAATGTAAAACAATGTTACACTTACCGTCGGGTCACTAGTGAACAAGCGATTCTTGTTTGTGCAAGTTTCTTTAAGTTTTTCGGTAATTATAAATTATACTAGATTTTATTATTTTCCAAAATGAAGTTTCAATATTTATTCTAGAAAGTGGAAAGTATGTTAGTAAATTTTTAGAGATTTTTTTAACTATTCTGAATAGATAAAGAAAATCGATTTTAGTGATCTATGTTTGAAAGAGCCACCAAATTGTACCTTGTATTGTAAGAGATAATTGTATCTTTCTCTTGATAAAATTGATATTATTTAAAAAATGCTGATATTTAATAAATAATATTTAACAATGATATAAAATTTTTTAAAGATAATAAAAGTAAAGAATATAGACTTTAAAAAAAATTATATAAGATCTGTAATCTATAACTAGTAATATATAATATATCTATACAACTAGTATATTTATTGATTATTGCAACTAATAATTGCTAAATTGTCAATCAGTAAATTGATAGCAAAATATTCAACAGTATAAAATTCTATTAAATATAAGTTTTAATTTAATGTGACTATTAAAAAAATTTGTGATAAATTATGATTACATATAGAAAGCAAGACGTCAGATTTTTCAAATCGTGTTTGAAAAAGTTGATAACATCGTTCATCAAGGTTTCACAGTATATAATCTTCGAAAAGTTTCCTTAGATACCTTCATCCCTCGACTTAGGAAACTACTCACTGATCATTGGAATAGTTTCCCACTTACTGTGCCACCACCATACAAGGATGAGGGTAACGGCTATATTTTACCGTAACCATCCTTAACTTTCAATTCCGACAAGTTTGTCCAGCGTATGTTCCCTAAGGCGATAGGCACCAGAGTGCTGGTGGACAAGTAAGTTTAGTAGAGTCGGTTAACTTGCCAACCTGCGCAATTGCATTGGGTCAAACCATTTAATGGTACTTCCCGAAACGTTTATTCCCTTCGGCGAAATGCCCACCCAAACGATCACAAAAAGCGGATAGGATAACACATCAGCTGCGATGACAGCTTCGGCATTTCGACGAGTGCAGCGATGAAAGTAGAAATAAGACAGGTTTCGTTCGATAGAAGATAGCTGGTCAATACGTATTAAGCGTCATTTCGTATCGGACGCAATTTATTACTGCCTGGTGGGCCTTGACAGCGTGGCGTAACGAGAGACGGGAGGAAATGGCGGACGGAAATACGTGTTAAAGAGAAAATTTATCGATGATATTTAGGTCGGTACGACCACCTCTGCGCTCGGAGTTAATGTCTTAAATTGGCTGTGAAATTTTCAATATCCATTTATCGAGATAAACGCTGATTTTTACGGCAAGATATACCAACGGTTGAGCATGTCATAATTCATAATCAATGAATATGGTCTATAGAGGATGGCACATCGTAATATCCGATACATACCCGTAGCTAATTCAATCAGTTTAATCGCTTTTTGATTGGTTTTCACCAATCAAATTGGTGCAAATATTTTATGGCGCAAGATAATATCATTATCTTGCATTACTTGCGTCATTATTGGCCCATTTACAAGTACTTTACTTATAAGTCTATCTTTTTTATCAACGATTTTTATTTCTTAACTGTTAATAAATTGATTGTGATTATTAATAACAAATCTTAACCATTACACTATAATTTTTTTTAATGAAAAATAGTAAATTTTTTAAATAGTTTAATTAGTTTATTTTTGAAAGATTATTTAATATAATATTTATTTAAAGAGAATATTAATATTTATTTGTTTATTTCGAAAAATGAAGACATTTTCGAAAATATTTTTGAATCTTTATTTTTCGAAAAATATTAATAGATTAATATTATCTAATAATTAATATTAATATTAATTTTCACTAATGAAACGAAGTTGCGTATGTACTTAAAATAGTACATTAAAATTAACGAAATTAACTTGAGATACGAGAAACACGATATATTCGGTGTAAATTCACGTCGTAATACATTAAATATTTCAGATAGCAATAGCAAATTTGCTGGCTTACGAAACTTCACATTGTTTGCTTGTTTTTTTGTGGTGTATTATACAACGAGTTATTATATAGACACAGTTGGCGCGTTACCACACACACCAACATTCGAGCGAGCAAGTAACGGCGTGAGTTGCTCCGTGTATTGTCGCATTACTATTCGGAATACGATCGTTCTTTTTAGAATAATTGTCACGATGAATTTCGAATTATTTATCAAGTGTACTTAATTAACATTTATGATTAGCGTAAATATGTCAGGATAACAACTATTTCATTTCACAAATTGAATAATTCCAACGAAAAGCCGTGATGTACCTGACGTTTATTGATAGTATTAATATTTTCTGTCTTTCATGGAATAGCATACGTTTAATACCGAGAGTGTCAAAGCACCGCGCGATTATCATATTGGTAATTAATGTGCGGGCGATCGCAATTAATCACGTTTTCACGAATATTGTGCAAAATATGGATTGTGCACGAAAAAAATCTAATCTAAAAGACGGCTGAACGATGACGAAATCTAGAAGTAATTTCTTCTTTATATATTTATGCATGGAGAAAATTTTATATTTAAAATTACTATAATGTTGTAAAAGCTGCGGACTATCATGACACAAAGTTTAAATGCTATAGCTATTTTTTTAAAAACAATGCAACGTAATTTTTACACTTTTTCATAGTAAAAATTTTTTATTACAAAATCAAAACTTGTTGGATAAAAGTTAGTATTGTAAAGATAAGTAAAAAATATATATCTTACAAATTTTGTTTGTGTATCATAGTAAAAATTAACTGTTTTTTATTTAAGAATATGACTTGAGCACTGGCTTTTAACAAAATTACTTTATTTATGTGACAAAAATTAGTATTACCATAGTAAAAGTTATGTCGGAATCATGTTATGATGGTCCATCGAAATAGAAGACATAATAAAGTGTAATTTAAAATTGTATTAAAACTTAATATAAAATTTTCTCCATGTATGCAGTATATATTTGCGATTATTTCATGTATTTAACTTACTAGACAATTTAAAAAATAAAAATTAAAAAAAAAATTTTTATATATATGAAATAACGATTTTTGTACGAAATGCTTTTTAAAAAAAGAGGATTTTTTTCTTTTACGAAAAACTATGTTTTTATTTTAATAAAGATTTTTAGTAAGAGTAAAAAAATGAATAAAATTTTGATAATTATTTTTTGGAGTTTTAATTATTTTGTGAACGCGCCACTTTAATTTAGATTTTATATTTGTATGTTCCAGGTCAATCGTATTTACCAGAGCAACCACAGCGTAGCGTCACAATACCGTTGCGCACCATATTGGTAGGTTTCGAATTTTTTTTTATTTTAGTACGAGGTAATGAATCTCTCTGTGAATTCCACGAATAAAATGTAACATCTCTTTCATAGATCCATTGCCTCGAAATGAGTGGGTGGAATTGAGATTATTGAGATGCAGATTCTGCGTATAAACATGCGTATGCCATGCGATTTGTAAATTACAATTCAAATTCAACTGTAGTTGATTATTCTGTGCTGCGATATTCAGCACATCAGAGCAACCCGTGAAACTATCTATTTAATTTCGCAGAAACCTTGAATCTTGCGTCGAGGGATTTCTGAGTTTCAGGCTCCATCGAGATCTCGTTTAAAACCTACAATTGTGTTCCTTTCGCTTTTTAAATTCATTACTCCGTAAATTGTACGAAATATTTTTATCATACGGAATATTCGTCATAAAAAAATCATAACAAACTTATTGATGCAATATATGTGCGACTAAAATTATATACTTTATTATATTATTTATACTTTATTATATTATTTATTTCTTTATTCAATTAAATTAAACTATAAAAATCAATAAAAAATTTATAAGATTTACGATATCATAAAATGGAGTAATCTTCAAAATCGAAGTAACTTTGGCCCAATTTTGATAATATCCAGATAGCATACATGTCAAAATTAGGATAAAACGTCTTTAAATTTTTTTAAAGATGTCTTCTGAGAGAGAGAATGTTCCGATTTTAACATGTGTAGACTTTTTTAATTTGAACCAAAGTTACCTCGATTGGTATAATCTACAATTTTACTTAGATATTTCAGAATAAATAAAATAAAAAGTATATTTTATATATATAAAGATATAACGCTAAATGGAGAGCAATGTTTGTTTAATCTAGAATATTACAAATTCTTCTTGACGTGTTAATTAAATGTAATTTAGAAATACCCGAGTATATTAATGAATGAACACAATTTTGGATATCCGAATTGCATTCATCGGAGCCTATGTTGGCAGCATTTTAAATACAGTTCCGAAACAGGACAAATTAATTCGTGGCTAATGTAAATTTATAGTAATAACTTTAATAAACCGATATTACAACCGTTAAATCTCGCGCGCATTGGGCATTAATTATCAGATACCAAACTCAATTTGCCACTTTGAGTACTTTGAGATAACGATCCCGTAGCGTCGAAACCAGAGCAATTTGTCTATGTGTAGCTTACGTTAGTTGCTAAATTGACAACACTATTTAAGTATAATGTACGCTTGAGGCTACCATTTTCATCACAATGGAAATATTACTCAGCGCGCTATTGCCAGAACTTCCAGATTCGTAAAAGCATATCCTTTCTCTGTGTTCTCAACCTAATTATGTCGGCAATATAAGAGATGCGTTCCATTATTAACGGGATGACTATCTGGAAAACCTGGAATTTTCAAGGAATTTCTTTTTTAAGGGATTTTTTTCTTAAAAATCAGGAAATTTTATGGAATTTTATAATATCTACTCAAGGAAATTTTACTTATTCTAGCTCTGAAAATATTTTTTTTTTATTTCTTTTTCTTGATAATGCAAAATGTTGGCTAATAATAATAAGTATGCAAGACACATTCGCGTAATATAATATATTCACGTAAATATTTTCTTGCGTATTTTGCAAATTTTTATTAAAAGAATCAGGTTGGTAGTACGAGACAGTACTCAACTGAAGAAAGTAGCTCACTGATTACTATGTTGTAGTCAGTTTTTCTTATTCTATATGTTTCATAGCTCCAATTACAGAAAATGGTCGTGGAACTCCTGTCTTTACTAATTTACAATAATTTGTTTGCATTACTTGTACTTCAATTTATTTCAAAGATAAATTTAAAATTTATTATCTACTTTATCTGGATTTTTGAATAAAAATACTTGAAAAATCTGGGAATTTTCAAGGAATTTTTAATAAGATTTTAATAAACATTCTGATTGAGAAATTGACACAAAATTGATTTTCAATATAAACGCGTTGAAATTCTAATGAATTTTTTATTTTGGATAAATTAAATATATCATATTGACTTTAGCATAAGTTTTGATAAAAATGAAAATTTAATTTATAGAATTTGAATTACTAATATTAACACAAATATATACTATTGATTTTATTCATAGTATTTATTTTTTTTATAGTAGTAGACAGTACAAAGTTTTTACTGATATAGTTTGTTTATTTTAAACATAGTAAACAGTACTTAATAAATTAAGTTTTTGATAAGTGCGGCGTATATACCAGAGTTACCCTACTATTGGTACTAATATATTGATGATAATATTTTTCATATTTCATGTATTATTCCCATTTTCACGTAATTTTAATGAGTGAAATATCTTTCATAAGGTAGGAATTCATTAGCTTCAAAGAGAAAATTATAATTCCGCGAATAAAATATCTGGAAGTGGCATACAGTATTGTAGAAACTTTATCAGCCCTTCGTAAAGACTCACGTTCTTCGAACAATTATCATCGTCGAAAGCCAGTGTAGTATGAGATTAATTGAATTGCATTTTTTTTCTGCATTCCTCTTTTCTTTGTACGCTTTTAATTCTGTACGATTAATCGAGGTATTCATGGAAAAAGACAGGGCATGAAAAAATGGACGAGAATCCGTTGAAAAAACGCTTCTAAGAAATGAATTAAATTCAAGCTTTCAGAGAAATACGCGGTCACTGCTGTCCAGTATCGCTCTTGTGCCATTTTTATTCGACGTGTAATACATGAACAAAGTGAGAACACTCGTTCTTGATGCTATACAATTTATTCCGACGGTGAATGCGCCGTTTAGAGTTTCAATCCAACGGGCAAAGATAGAAATTCGTACTTGTTAGAAGCAGCTTTATCACATTAAACGAGCGGCTATTAAACTCTCCCGGCGACATGGAATCTTTAAAGATACCATTGATAGTTTGATTGTGAATTCTAGTAGATAAATTTAAATCTGTAAAAAATAAATAAATTCGACTTCTTTGATGGTAGTAATAGGAATGTACCGGATATCTGGGAAATCCAGTATCTGGGAATATCCAGTATCTGACATTATCCAGCCGAATAGGCGAATATCATTAGTATATCCAGTAATATATCTGACTGAAATTTTATATTGATAATTGCGTCATTGCTGCAGAATTTTATTCTTTTTAGCTGAATTTCTCGCTCATCTTTCCTCTTTTCCTTTTCACGTTGGGAAGATAGAGATAATTTTCTCCGTCCGGCAGAATGTCCGGGAAAGTATCCGGTATCCAGCCGGATAATTACCCTACCAAATATCCAACCGGATATCGTATATCCGAAAACAATGTGACGTCGAATATCCGATATCCGTTAATTTTACGATCCGGTATTAGTAAATGCTCATTGTTAAATCTTTGACAAATATAGCAGAATTTTTTCAGATTTTGATATGATCCGAAACAATAAAAAAATTGCTCTTTTTTTTCAAGACCTTTACACAGAAAGATATCAATCTATTGCTAAGAAAGATAATTACTCAATTTACTTTTTTTTTTAATTTATTAATTTTAATCGGTTATTTTTATAAAAGAATATTTTCTTGATAATAATCTCAAAATACTTATTACAAATAATTAAAAAAAAACTCATTAATAGATATCCAAAGCAAGAATTTATTTTTTTTAAGGATATTATAAAATTAATCAAAGAAGATTTTATTAATAAGAAAATCGAATTTCTTTTAATTTAATAGTCTTGGTACTATGATTAAAATATATTTTGAATAAATTTTGCTTAATTGTGATAAACTTATGATAGATTTGCGGACATATGAATTTTTTAAATATTTAAAACAATTATTATTTTCGTACAGTATGTAATATATATACTATGTATTTTTTTGGGTATATTGCTGACAGAAGAATTGAAATTTCATGTTACCAGCGGAAAGTGTTCATTTTTTTACGCGTAGCATGTACCATATTAACTACGTTGATCAAAGTAAAAAGTAAAAACAAAATATTGTACATTTCTCTCATTGATATTTCGTTCAAAGTCGTGTGTGATTGCTATATGCTGTCTGCTGTCGCGTAAAAAGAAAAAAAAACAATCTCGCGGAGTAGCCGTCGTAACTTTCTCGTCTTTTTGAAAAGACGTAATGAAATTCTACTCGCGTTAATGGCTAGGTAGTAATTTAATTTCATCGAGAAAAGGAACAACGTAATTCTCTTTTCCTCTACCATATACATGTGATATGCTCCATTTTCAGAAGAAGAGGTCAACGTACAATCTATTTCACCAACACAACAGAAATTGCGTTTCTGCCTTTATACTTGCGAATAGTCCGTATATTTTCTTAAGGTAAAGATACATCGAAAAGTAATATTACACTTTCTCGTACGTGTCGAGAGATCGTCAAAATTATTTACAGAACAGAATTTCTAGTATATCCCCCTCTCCCCCTATTAGCAATTGTGCTATTTTAGACGAATATATTTAGTAACTATAAATATATCGAAATACTCTTAAATGTATTAAATTACCGTAGAGATTAAATGTGATTATACACTGTTGCACGCAATGGTGTAAAATTATTCATGGAAATACCTATTCGCTAAGTAATTTTCAATTAGACCTCCAATGTGACGCGGGGACCAGCCAATAAGAAGCGTAAACTTTTTTAATTAAAGGGCTGTCCCCGGAGTTTTAAATGAGTTAGTGACGCTGACGGGTAGTAGTAGAAGGAAAGTGAATGAAGCGTGTGCAGGAAGAAGTAGAAGTCAGATAAAATGGGATAGTAATGGTAGTACTGCAATAGACTATGATGGAAAGAAGGAGTAGTTACGAGTCCAAGTATCTCGGACAGCGAGAGCTCTATTCTTCTGGCAAAAGAGAAAGCTACGGTTATCATAAAATCATCCCATTTAATTACCGCGACCAATTAACAAGTTTACTGCAGGCAGCTTTTGTGATAATGAACAACGACGTCGATTAGTTGATACAAAATTGTATGAAGAGTAGGTATATAAAATATAATTCCGAAAATATAAAATTCAAATACGAATACTCTTTCCTTTTGACGAAGAATGTTGCTGGATCGCTTTTGATTTATGTAAAACATTCTAATTTATCTCTTGAAATGTTACTATCAATGTTTTCTTGTTATTAGTTATTGATTTGCATAAATTTTGAAACTTATACAAACGAAAGTTATAAATAAGATTTACAAGTCAAATATAATGCATTCTAATACAAATTATATTTTACATGGATTTTACTTTAGACGTTACTTGTAAGTTATTATGTCTGCTTTTCCAACGATAAAGCAGAGACGCGAATAGATGTAGTGGGTTATTTCACTGGTGTATACGAAACTCCGGAACAAAGCTGTTGGGATATTAGTGATCTCATTAAAAAG